CATACTTATTCAACCTGTATGCTGAGCAAATAATCCAAGAAGCTGGGTTATATAAAGAAAAATGTGGCATTAGGATTAGAGGAAGACTCATTAGCAACCTGCGATATGCAGATACTACAACCTTGCTTGCTGAAAGTGAAGAAGACTTGAAACATTTACTGATGAAAATCAAAGAACACAGCCTTCGGTATGGATTGCAGCGCAATGTAAAGAAAACAAAAATCCTCACCACTGAACCAATAAACAACATTCTTATCAACAGAGAAAACATTCAAATTGTCAAGGATGTCATTGTTCTTGGATCAACTATCAACACTCACAGAAGCAGCAGTCAAGAAATCAAATGATGTATTGCATTAGGCAAAACTGCTGCACAAGATCTTTTGAAAGCATTGAAGAGCAAAAATGCCAGCTTGAGGACTAAGGTGTGCCTGACTCAAGTCACAGTATTCTCAATAACCTCATATGGACGCGAAAGCTGGACAGTGAATAAGGAAGACCATAGAAGAATTGATGCTTTTGAGTTATGGTGTTAGAGGAGAATATTGAAAGTGCCATGGGCTGCCAAAAGAATCAAAAAATCCATTTTGGAAGAAGTGCAGCCAGAGGGCTCCTTGTAGGCCAAGATGGCCAAACTTCATCGCTCATACTTTGGACATATTGTCAGGAGGGACCAGTCGCTGGAAAAGGATATCATGTTTGGTACGGTGGAGGGTCAGAGAAAAAGAGGAAGACCCCCAACGAGATGGATTGGCCAAGTGGCAGCATCAATGGAATCAAGCATGGCACCAATTGTGAGGCTGAACCAAGACTGGGCAGAGTTTCATTTTGCTGTGCATAAGGTCACTGTGAGTCAGTGCTGACTTGATGGCACCTAATAACAACAACAACTCCAGCTTTCCTTTGATTAACATTAGTTTGCTCTATCTTTCTCATTTCTTTATTTTTGATCTCTGGGTCTTTATATTTAAAGTGAATTTCTTGTAGACAACATATAGTTGGCTCTTTTTTTCCAATACACTCTTACAGCTTCTGTCATTTCATTGGCCTATTTAGATTATTCACATTTAACATCATTATTGATCTAATTGGATTAAAAGCAACCATAACTGTTTAAAGTCCACTTAGACTCTTGGGTATGTGTGTGTGTGTGTGTGTGTGTGTGTGTGTGTGTTTTGCATTCCCAGGGTTTTGCTTTATTTTTTCCTTTAATAAACTCTGTAAAAATATATTTATTTTTAAAGTAAAGTGCAATTTACATATAATAAACCTCACTCATTTTAGTGAGAGTTTTTCAAAATTGTATGTGTGGGGGGTGCAATTTGGGTAAAAGTTTACAGAGCAAACTGGGTTTCTATTCAATGATCCATACCCATTTTGTTTATGACATTGATCCTGATCTCCATAATGTAACAGCACTCTACTTCTCCCTGTGTTTATCATTTCCCTTGGTTTCTTTTTTCCTATGCTTTCTTGCCTTCTGAGCTTTATTGTTGCTGTTGCTATTAAGTGCCGTCAAATCAGTTCCCACCTATAGCCACCCTGTATAGGATTTCCAAGAAGCAGCTGGTGAACTTGAACCACCAACCTTGCAGTCCATTGCATTAACACACAGCGCCACACCAGGGCACCTTAAAAGCCTACAGCAAGACAAGATTGAGTGCATTCAGGGTGGAATGCTTTCTACCTGGTCAAATGCTGCTCTTTTGATCTCATATACACCTGTAGTTCACTTGACTAAAAGCCGAACCATGGGGGTGACCTCAGTTCCAGGCTTGAAAGGTGTCTAAGGGCCATAGTCTTAAGCCTTCCTTCGTTTTAATTAAGACTTTAAGATAATTCAATCTTCTCTTAGCATATTAATTATGTTGTTATTGTTGTTAAGTGCCATTGAGTTGGTTCCAACTCACAGAGACCCTATGTTGGGTTTCTGATGAGCAGCTGGTGGATTTGAACCACTAACCTAGCAATTCAAACCAACCTTGAGGTCCAGTAGTTATCTTATAGTGACATCAAGACTCCATATCAAATATTGTCATTGTTAAGTGTCATCAAGTCAGTTCCAACCCATAGTGAAACTGTATAGAGATTCCAAGGAACCAGCTGATGGGTTTGAACCACTGACCTTGTGGTTCAAACGAACGTCATGGTCCAGTGCTTATCCTACAGCACCACATCATATCAGTTATATGCCTTTAAAAACATTTTCTAGTACTTGTCCTAGAGTTCACACTAAGCATTTACAGCTAACCTAAATCCACTTCAAAGTAACAATAAACTACTTCACATGTAGTACACTTACCCTATGTTGGACCCAAAACTGGAGGTCTCCCATATACACTCTTTTCTTAAAGTGACAAATGAGTTAACTGAAACTTTGTTTATGCCTCCTAGTCCAACTTAAACAGTTTCTTAATTAATGATTTCCCGTCTTAGTAACATTTCTGGCCTTTCCCAAAAGGGCTTATTCCTATTATCTCAGTAAGAATTTACATTTGTTTTCAAGGTTATGGTAGTCTGAGGTCAAAGTTCAAGTCATAGCTGAGTATCCATTTGTGGTTTTGGGAAAGTTTTTTTCCATCTTTGGTTACTACTCAAATATAAGCAGACCAGATGACCTCTTCCTGTTCTGTGTAACTTTTCAAACTAATTACTGGTTGTTTAATCATAAACCCATTCAATACAAAGAGGAAAACAATCTCCTTAAAACACCAGAGGCCCCTTTTCTGCTTAATTAATTTTATCCCTTCTGTTCTTTTCACAGACTAGATTTTCACTAGTTGCACACTGATTTAAAGAACTCTGCAATTTTAAGCCAGAGAAATGTTAAAGGCTTGAAATGCTGTTCAGTTACCACATGGCTTGATTCATTCACATCTTTCTCTTTCTTCCCCAGGGAAACGAAGAAAGAGCTCCAGAGGTGGGTATTTCTCCCAGCCTGAGCATGAATCGAGCATTTGTTAATAATGGTTCTATTTATGATCAAAAGTCTTCCTCTGTAAGTGCTGTTCATGCTCACTAGGTATAAACCTACAACTTGGAAGACCCACAGCCATTCCAGTATGATTCTCCCTGTGCCCCGACTTCCCTCCCATTCCACTTCTTGCCAATCTAGGGCTCCATCTCAATTCAATAAACATTTCCCACACTCTAGCTTTGAATCAGGAACTTGAGGAAGGAAGGCCAAGTGATGGAGATGTTGCTGACAAGCTATGCTCCTTGCCCTGAAAGTGACCCTGTGTCTAAGTGACTCAGTTGCACTGCAACTCTGCAATGGATTCACTGTGACAAGAGCAAGCTCCTTCCCAACTCCGGACTTCAATTTCCTCATCTATAAAGAAAATATTTTAGGCCAGACAGTCCCTAAGTCATCCTTAGCTCAGCTGTTTAGTGGTTCTAAGGATGTTGAACTGTTAAGAATAATAATGTGAGAGTTCAGAGAAGTTAAGAGGTTACTTGTAGCTGAAAAATACAGGGGCGGCTTTAGAGCATAGAGTTAAAACAGTTTAAGGATGAGTGGGTTTTTTAAGGTAAAAATGGGATACAGGAGAAGAAAAGTATTACAGATTAAGGACTTAGCCTTAATAAAAGATAGATATTAAAGGGTGGAGCTAGAAAAATGGAAGCTATTAACAGGGAAATGTAGGACATAACAGAAGTATTCCAGATCAAGGACTCATCCTTATTAAAGCATAGATGTGCTGTGGCTCTGTGGGGCAATGCACTGGACTGCAAAGCTGGTTTAAACTGCAAGGTTGGCAGTTCAAGCTCACCAGCTACTCCTTGGAAACCCTACATGTAGTTGCTATGGGTCAGAACCGACTCAACAGTATTAAACAGAGCATAACATAGCATTATTAAAGGGTGGTGGCTGTGTGCCGTGGAGTCGGTTCCAACTCATAACAACCCTGTATAGGATTTTTGAGGCTACAAATCTTTATGAGAAACTTTATCTTTCTTCCAAAGAACCACTGGTAGTTTTGAACTGCTGACCTTGAGATTAGCAGCCTGACATGTAACCACTATGCTACCAGAGCTGGGAAAACGTAGGACATAAGAGAGACCAGTGACTCATTCATAGCAACTGAGATGTAGGAATTTAAGTGTGATGCAGTATTATGAGGGAGAAGATTAGGAAGATAACCTGAGATCAAATTATGGAAACTGAATGTCAGTCAAAAAAGTCTAGACCTCGCTGAGTCATAGGAAGTTAATGAAGTAGATAAATACATTAGAGCTGCACTGTACTAGGTCAGTAATAGTGTGTAGGGGGTAGATTGGAGAGGAGAATAAATCATAAGATTAAACATTATTTCAAGAGACAAGAAATGAAGGCTTGAACAAGGGCTATGGCTGGAGAATAAAAAGAAGGGACTAGAAACAAGAGGAATTCAGACTTGGCAGCCAATTTGATGAAAGGTTGTAAAGAGACAGTGAAGTCTCAGTTTTGAGACTGAAAGACTAGAATATCACATGTTAAGTGCCATCGAGTCGGTGCCAACTGATAGCAACCCTGTATAGGGTTTCCAAGTAGGGGCTAGTAAGTTTGAACCACCGGCCTTGTAGTTCAAACCAACCTTGCAGTCCAGTGCATTATCCCACAGAGCCACACCAGAAAAACATATAAATGTAATGAAATCAGAAGTGGAACCAGTTTTCCAGACTCAAAGAAATTCCATTTGTGGCATGCTACATTTCAGGAATGTTTAGGTAGAAATATCCAAGAGCCTACAGCTTCTGGAAGGTAGCTTAGCCCTGAGTTTCTATGGCTTTCCCTCCAGCCTTGTGCAGTGAGCAGGATGTCGTGGTCAGCAGCTCTGAGGGGGAACTGCACTTCCCAGAGAGATCCCACCTGTATTATGAGAGCAATCTGTGAGTAGCCCCCCTCTGCCGCCCCTCCTTCTACTCCCACATCCACTCTGCCTGTGTCCATTACTGGAATGCGATCGTCAGTTTCTGGCTAGAAATAACACCCGTTCAATGTGTCTGCTTGCAGACTTTGTGTCTGGACCCTGGTAGTACCAGAGAAAATGCATATGCTGCTCAGTTTTTCCCATTTGGATGCAGAATCTTGTCAGCACAGTTACCTGTCAATACACTCATTAGGAGACAATAGACTTATTGGTGAGTGAATTTCCATATAATCACATTGAAACCAGTGCTAAGCAGACTTAATAATATGCCTGCCACTGAGGCATAAACACCATACTTCCTGTCACTAATTCTGAGACAGAAGCGGGAATGAAAAGAAATTGATTCTGAGCTCAGAGTAACCACACTATATGATAGTTTCAAGACCTCAGGGCATTTTACTTGCTGCAACTGCCTCCCTTCAAAACAGAGGCTACATCTGCTTCTCTTCAAAATGGGACTGCTTTCTAGACCCATTTGCCAAGCCTGGAGCACAAGGGGAATAAAATCTAGAAATATTACAGAGCCTGTTCAGAACAATGCTGTTTTTTCAACTTACCTCATCAAGCTACAAAGAGAAAGACTAATAGACAACCATGAGGAGAAGACAAATGTGACTTATATTAGTATGTGACTTATATTATACAAATGTGATTTATATTAGAAACTGGTTTTGCATTTGGCAATAACTTGGAAGCATTTTGGGTGGTCACAACTAGGGAAGCTCTATTAGTATCTAGTGGGTAGTGTCCAGGAATGCGACAGCATTCCTACAGCACACAAGACAGCCTAAACCCAAAGAATGTTCTGGTTCAAATTATCAATAGTGTTGAGACGGAGAAACCCTGGTTTACATAATTCTGAAGTGTCATGTCAAATTCAGTTCTCTGTAAATCTTTTAACAGGCTCTGTTTTCTGTTCTGAAATAACCTTCCTTCTCTTGTTTCAGGGAAATTCTGTGGAGAAGTCCTCTTTTCATCTGTCCGCATTGGCTACAACTCTTTACGGCTGAAATTCATCTCTGATAGCACAGATTATGCTACTGGATTTAATCTCACGTATAAAGCTCTTAAATCAAGCTATCTTCCTGGTAAAACCATTGACTCTTATCACATACCACCCAATTAGAGCTCATGGGAATTACAGGAGGGACAAGGGACACCAGCTCAGAGCCCACTGGGCTCCATTGTGGATGCAAAGTATTGAGATCAGGTCACACTCTCTCGTTTTCTGCTCTGCCAACTCACACTTGTTGCACACCTGGAGAGTTCAGGGGCCCAATAAGTTCTGGGAAATCAGTGCAAAAAGTCTTCCTACCTGATTCTGCACCGTTTCATCCACCGTTTGTGGGAGGTAGCAGGGAGAACAAAACAGTATTCCTCTTTACTTGGGTGGTACCCTTTGCTTGGATGTTGTTTTGTGTGTTTCAGATACAGGTTGTGGTTCCTTAGTTGTCCTTTTTGAAGAAGGTCTCATACAGAGTCTTCACTATCCTCAAAACTACACACACCTGGCTAACTGTAACTGGATTTTCCATGCCCCAAAACATCATCTAATTAAGGTACAAACTTTGGTTACCTTTACTTTGCTATAGTATCTCCACAGAACAGTTAACATAAATTTAAGGAGATCAAAGAGTTTTTTTATCTGATTTGTTCACTGCTGTGTGGCACTGCAAGGAGCCCTGACAGGACAGTTGGTAGTTCAAGGCCACTAAGTACTTCCCTAGAGAAAGATGGGGCTTTCTGCACCTTCAAGATACAGCCTTAGAAACTGTATATAGAGTCGCTATGAGTCGTCGACTGCAGACACTACCACTATGTGGCGCTGTGGGGCTGCTAACTGCAAAGCCAGCAATCAAAATGCACCAGCAGCTCTGTGGAAGACAGGTAAGACTGGCTGTTCCTGTTAAGATTTACAGTTTTGGAAACACTATGTAATGTCACTATGAGTCAGAATCTACTCAGTGGCAGTGGATTTGGTTTTGGTTTATATCCCTGATACCTAAAACAGAGCATAATACACAAAGATCTCAATACGTTAGAAACAAATAAAAAATGCCATCAAGTCAATTCCGCTCATAGCAAATGGTGGTGTGATGGTTGTGTGCCATCCAGTCCGTTTCGACTCACTGCGATCCTATAGAGGGTTTCTGAGGCTGTAAATCTTTTTGGGAGCAGAAAGCCTCATCTTTCTCCCACAGAGCAGCTGGTAGAAGACTGCTGTTACAATGTGGGAGGTGCGTCCCTGTGTTTACCATTTCCTTTCCTCCTTCCTTCTTACCCCTTCCTGCCTTCTGATCTTTTGTTATTGTTGACACGTCCTTCAAGAGAAATTGATCAAATCTCTATCATCTTCTGAGCTGACCTTCTTTCTTCTTTGCTTTGAATTTAACTGGTCCAGCGGATACCGTTGGAAGCCACTGTTTTTCTTGAAGGACACAAGAAAGACAATCCTGGGGCTTATTAGAAAGAAGTTTGAAGATTGACAACTGCAGTGGTGAGGAAAGAAGGCCAAAAGTGTTACACTGAGGAATTGTTTTCTATTATGACAATACACCTGCGCATTCTTCAAGGAGAGCAAGAACTGTTGTATGAGAAGTTCATTGAGAAACCTTACCCTGTCCACTCTACTGCCCAGATGTTGCCCTTTAAGATGTCTCTATGTTCCCTAAAAGAACTTTTAAAAGAAACAGGATTTAAGCCACTCAAAAATGTCAAAACTTCCATTTTGACATGTTGTAAGTCTAAGAGCGCAGAACTCCTTGGTGAAGGGTTGCTGTTGTATGCCGTAGATTCAATTCTGACTCATAGTAACCCTGTACAGGGTTTCTGAGGAACAGATGGTGAGTTTGAACCACTGACCTTGAAGTTCAAACTTACCTTGAAGTCAAGTGCTTATCCCAAACAGCCACCACCTTCAGACATATATAGGATTTGTCAAGAAACCACAGCTTCACATTTCTATATTTTTAATAGAGGTTGTTATGACTTTATAGCAATATTTTCTGACTCAAGCTTGTATTTAAGAAACAGAAAGACATCTAAGAGGCAGGGGGAGAACTTGATCAGTATGGTGCTAGGATAGCTTAGAGGACTGAGCCTTTGATTTTAAAACCAAGATGAATCAAAACAAAACATGATGTGGCCAATAATTTGGATTCACTATTCATAGTTACAGTTTAAAGAGAATGAGAATGGAGACTTAATTGACCTAATTCATCCCTGCTCCCCCAATTTAAACACACACAGAGAATAATTGGATTAACAACTAAGGGTACTAGGGAGGAGAAAGTAAATGGTAGTATCTGAAATATCTAGTTATGTGGGGTGTTAGGAGCAGAAATAAGACTACACAAGTTTTACAAAGTAATGGAAAAATAAAAAATGTTGTTGTTTTTGTTCTTAGGTGCCATCAAGGCAATTCCGAATCAAAGTGACCCTACGTACCACAGAACAAACACTGCCATGTCCTGCATCATCCTCATAATGTTGTTACTGTGCTGCCACTATGCCCATTGTACCCATCATGGCTACCCTGGAGCCCACTGCTGCTGCCACTGTGTCAATCCATCTCACTGGGGGCTTCCTCTTTTTCACTGACCCTCCATTTTACCAGGCATGATGTCCTTCTCCAGGGACTGGTCCCTCCTTGATAATATGTCCAAAGTAGGGGAGAAGATGAAATCTCGCCATTCTGGAGGTACTTCCTCCAAGATAGATTTGTTGTTTCTTCTGGCAGTTCATGGTACTTGTAATATTTTTCTTCTCCAACACCATAACGCAAATCAATTCTTCTACTATCTTCTTTATTCATTGTCCAACTTTCACATGCATATGAAGCAATTAAGGAGCTCTGGTAACATAGTGGTTATAAGTCAGGCTAATAACCACAAGGTCAACAGTTAGAAACTACCAGCCAGTCTGTGGGAGAAGCATGAGGCTTTCTGCTCCTGTAAAGATTTATAGCCTCAGAAACCCTATACAGGGTCGCTATGAGTCGGAACCAACTGCACAGCACACAACCACCACCACCAATATCATGAGGCAATTGGAAGTCCTGGTATAGCACCATAGGATAAGCACTTGACCTCACGGTCAGTTTGAACTGCAAGGTCAGCAGTTCAAACTCACTAGCTGCTCCTCGGAAACCCTATACAGGGTCGCTATGAGTCAGAACTGATGACACTTAACAACAAATGAGGCAATTGAAATACCATGGCTTGGATCAGGCATAACTTGGTCCTCAAATTGACATCTTTGCTCTTGAACACTTTAGAGAGGTCTTGGGCAGCAGATTTGCCTACTGCAGTATGTCATTTGATTTTCTGATTGCTACTTTCCTGAGGGTTGATTGTGGATTCAAGCAAAATGAAGCTGTTGACAACTTCAATCTTTTCTCCATATATAATGATGTTATTTATTGGTCTGTTGTTGTTGTTAAATGCCGCCGAGTTGGTTCTGACCCATAGCGACCCTGTATAGGGTTTCCAAGAAGCAACTGGTGAGCTTGAACTGCTGACCTGCAGTTCAAATCAACTTTGCAGTTCAGTGCATTACTCCACAGCACTACGCCAGGACTCCATTTATTTGTCTAGTGGTGAGGATTTTGTTTTCTTTACACTGAGGTGCAATCCATACTGAAGGCTGTAATCTATGAACTTCATCAGTAAGTATTGTAAGTCCTCACTTTCAGCAAGCAAGGCTGTATCATCTGCATATTGCAGATTGTGAATGAGTCTTCCTCCAATCCTGATGCCACAGACAAGATGTTGTTGCTGCTAAGTGCCATCGAGTTGGTTCCAATTCACGGTGACCCTGTATAGGGTTTCTGAGGAGTGACTTGTGAGTTTGAACCGTTGCTCTTGTGGTTCCAAATAATATTGCAGTCTAGTGCTTATCCTACTGTACCACACCAGGTCTTCTTAGAAGATATATAAGTCAATATAAAACCCAAAATCTCATTTCCACTGGGTCTATTCTAACTCATGGTAACCCAATGTGTTCCAGGGTAGAACTGAGCTCCATAGAATTTTCATAGCAATAATCTTTTTGAAGTGGATCACCAGGCCTTATTCTGCAGTGGGTTCAAACAGCCAACCTGAGATTAACAGTCAAGCATAAACTGTTTATATCACCTATGGACCTTTGATAGATTTTGTCTTTCTAAAAGTTCTGAAACTCAAAAAGAACCAAGATAGAAAGTTAAAGAGAACATAGAATTAAGGGGAAAGTTGTCAGTAATGTAAGTATAAAAGTTTAGTCATCAGCATTTCTAGAAAGGAAGATGAGAAAATTTAGTTGAAAATATGACAATTTCAGAGCTAGAAATTATTCCAAAACATCTAGTCAGCAAATGTATGCTAAGTGTGATGCAGGAGAGAAATGATGTTCTCTATCCTGCCAGTGACAACATCATCTTGCCGAGCCCCAGTGAAATAGTAATTTGGAAATCAATATTACAAGTCCTGGTATGGCACTGTAGGATAAGCACTAGACTGCTAATCTCAAGGTTGGCAGTTCAAACACATGAACCACTCCTCAGAAACTCTACACAGGGCCACTATGGGTCAGCCAACTCAACAGCACTCAACAACAAGAAAAACATTACAAGTCATAACAATACATGCATCATTTGACTTGGAGAGAAGAGTCCATTTCCAGAAAACAGTTAAGTAGATATTTTAATAAATCTTTGAGCAAATCCTTCTCCAATCCACACTTCACCAATGATCACTGCCTCCAGGTTTGTCCTATCCCTGCAGTCTTCTGTGTCTCTTGCTGAGTGCTCAGGCATAAGACGTCCCTTCCTTTAGCCTAAAACAATAAGTGCCAAATACGGTAGATAATGCATGAGAAGGAAAAAATGAAAACATAACAATATCCTCTGCCACATTTTTAGGATAGCCAAAACTTGAAACTATCATAAATACTCAGAGATAGTAATGAATAGAATATTATGTATCAATTAATTATTATAAAAACTATGGCTATCAGTCTGTCATAATTTATTCTTGGTGAGCCCAGACTAACTCTAAGATTATCTCTCTTTTCTAGGGCACCACACATCATATGTTTAATAATCTACTCTAGAGTTTTGCTGATGCTTACATTTAAGCTTAGTATTCAGAATCAACTGGTTCTAACAATACCAGGATTTCTGTCTTCAATAACATCCATAACATCTCAAAATCAATGGCCATTGTTTCTGAGATCACCTTTACAAGTCAGTATATCAAAAATACTTTGTTTTACATCAGCATTTACACTCAATCATCTCTGTCCCAGCTCTCAAAATTGGTCATTGGTACATGGAGATTTATTGAAAGCTAAATAGAGCAGAGAGCCAAAATATGACATTAAATGTATCCCACCTGAATATAGAGACCATCTAAAGAACAGATTTGATATAGTAGACCATAATAACCAAAGATCAGAAGAGATGTCAGAGGACATCAAGAATATAACAGAGAAAGAAAATAAAAGGTCATTAAAAAGACAGGGAAGAAATAAAACACAAACATGGATGTCAGAAGGGACTCTGAAACTCACATTTGAATGTAGAGAAGCTAAAGCAAATAGGAGAAAGGAGGAGGTAAAAGAGTTGAACAGAAAATCTCAAATGGCAGTTTGAGAAGACGAAGCCAACTATTAGAATGAAAAGTGTAAAGACCAGAAATTAGAAAACCAATTGGGAAGAATACACTCAGCATTTTTCAAGCTAAATGAAATGCAAAAAAAACTTAAACCTTGACATGCAATACTGAAGGATTCAATTGGCAAAATAATAAATAATGCAGAAAGCATAGAAAGATAATGAAAGGAATATATAGATTCACTGTGCCCAAAAGAAATGGTTGATGGACAAACCATGTCAAGAGGTAGCCATATGATCAAGAACTGATGGTACTGAAGGAAGAAGCTCACGGTTCACTTAAAGCATTGGTGAAAAAACAAGGCTTCACGAATTGACAGAATACAAATTGAAATCTTTCAACAAATTGATGCAACACTGGCAGCGATCACTCATCTATGCCAAGAAATTTGGAAAACAGCTACATGGCCAACAGATACAAAGAAATCTTTATTCATGCCCCTTCCAAAGAAAAATGACCCAATGGAATGTGGAAATCATCACATAATACCATTAATGTCACATAAAAATAAAATTTTGCTGAAGATAATTAAAAAATGGTTGCAGCAGCATATTAACATGGAACTGCCAGAAACTCAAGCCAGATTCAGAAGAGGATGTAGAACTATGGATATCACTGCTGACATCAAATGCATCTTAGCTAAAAGCAGAGAATACCAGAAAGATGTTTACTTGTACCTTATTGACTATACAAAGGATTTCAACTGTGTGTATCATTACAAATTGTGGATAACATTGCTAAGAATGAGTATTCAGAATACTTAATTATGCTCATGAGGAACCTATCCATAGACCAAGAGGCAGTCCTTACAAAAGAATAAGGAGATACTGGATGTTTTAAAAATCAGGAAAGGTATGTACCAGCTTGTATCCTTTCACTGTACTTATTCAATCTACATAATGAGCAAATAGTCTGACAAACTGGATTATGTGGAAGAATGTTACATCAGGATTAGAAGAAGACTCATTAACAACGTGCAACATGCAGGTGATATAACCCTTCTGTTGAAAGTGAAGAGAATTTAAAGTACTGATGAAGATCAATGACCACAGTCTTCAGTATAGATTACACTTCAATGTAAAGAAAACAAAAATTCTCACAACTGGACTAATAAATAACATCATGATAAATGGATAAAAGACTGAAGTTGTCCAAGACTTCATTTTGCTTGAATCCACAATCAACACTCATGAATGCAGCAGTCAAGAAGTCAAATGATGGACATTGGATACCCAAATGTGGGGGAGGGACCACAAAGGCAAGAAGTAACTGGCTTACAAACTTTCAAGAGGGAACCTAGAGCTAGGGGCATGGAGGAAGGCAGAATCTCCAATGAGTACTATCCAATCTGTCTAGGTGGAGCTGATGAAATGAAATGCAGGAGGGTCACTTGTGATACAATAGTGAATTATTGTCATCAGGACTGATTGTGAGGGTTGGAAATATAAAGGTAGACGTTTGGTAGCAAGGAAGGGAGTTATTAACTCTCCAGTCTAGGAGCAGCAGTCTCTGGGACCATCAATGGAGAAGAGCCGAGAGCGGGACCGTACCCAGAGAAGCAGCGAGGCCAGAGATGGAGGCAGAGATGATGACGTGGAGTGATGAAGCGGATGGGGACTTTGGATCCAGAAAGGGAGAGGGACTGGGTCCTGAAGAATGGGGGTTAGGGGAGATTAGGGGGCGGATTTATAGGGTATACCCTTTGGTCGGTTGATGATGCATGGAGGGGATTGGAACCATGGCAATGAGACGATATGCGATGGAATGAATGTATGTAAAACTAAAGTTCTCTCATGTAAAATATCATATAAGTCACAATAAAACATGAAGAAAAAAAAAAGATCTTGTACAGCAGATTTAACTAATGAAAAAAGAAGAAGAAGAAGAAATCAAATGATGGATTGCATTAGGCAAATCTGCTTCACACGACCTCTTTAAAGTGTTGAAGAACAAAAATGTCAGTTTGAGAACTCAAGTGCATCTGACCCTAGCAATGGGATTTTCAGTTGCCTCATATGCATGTGACAGTTGGACAATGAATAAGGAAGACCCTAGAAGAATCGATGTGTTTGAATTATGATGATCGAAACGAATATTGAAAGTACCATGGACTGCCAAAAGGACAAACAAATTTGTCTTGAAAGAAGTGCAGCCAGAAGACTCCTTAGAAGCTTGAATGGTGAGACTTCATCTCTCATATTTTGGACATGTTATCAGGAGGGACCAGTCCCTGGAGGACATCATGCTTGGTAACATGGAGGGTCAGTGAAGAAGAAGAAGGTTCCCCAACTAAATGGATTGCCACAGTGGCCAAAGCAGTGGGCTCAAACGTAACAACAACTGTGAAGACTGCGTGGGACCAGGCAGCATTTCGTTCTGTTATGCACAGGGTCACTATGAGTTGGAACCAACTAGATGGTACCAAACAACAACACCAAACAAGGCAAGTCAGATATATTCTGCCACGTGGACCAACTGGAAAGATAGAATGTCTAAGGGGCACAATTGCCTTCAGTCTTGATTTAGGACAGGAGGAGTTTCAAGAAGTATCTTATTGCTGCCATAACACAAGTATTACAAATGGGTTACTTTAAAGAACATAAACTCATTTTCTCAGTTTTGGAGTCTAAAAGTACAAATCATGCTATCAGCTCTAGGAAAGAGTTCCCCCTTGTCAGTAACCCTGGGTTGTAGATGTTCCCTCGCATAGTCTCATACCAGCCCCAGTCGCACCTGTGTCTGTGTGTATGTGCGTGTGTTCTATTTGTATAAGACAACTCAGAAAAAAATTAGGTTTAGGATTCACCTTATTATGGACTAGTTGTATTAACATAACAAAAGAAACCCTCTATTTTCAAACAGGGTCATATTCCAAGTTAAGAGTTCACCATAATTTTTTGGGAGACACAATTAAATACATAACAAACATTCAAATATCCAGAGAAGTATTTGTGTGACCATGGTGTCCTAGCATAAACTCAAAAACTGCTTCCAAAGAAAAGTATCCCCAAGATTTTCTGAACTGGTAGGATGACCTGCCAGGGAGCTCAAATACTTGCACCTATCCCCAACGTTTCACTTCAGTTCATAGGTGTATTTTCTATCTTAAATGTTTTGAGAACCTGTGATACAACAACTTTTTCTCAGCAACTTGCCCCACTCAAGAATCAAGAATATTTGGAGAAGAGTTAGGATACAGACTAACTTTCTCATCTAAGGTCATATTCCAGAGCAAGTTAAGCAATCTGGCTCTCTGCCTGATCAAAATGAGGTAACTCATTTCTATTATGTGCTCTTGATGTAACATTGGATCTTTTCAGCTTTCATTTCAGAATCTGGAAATAGAAGAAAATGGAGACTGCAGTTCTGACTATGTGACTGTGCACAAGGATGTGGAAAGAAAGATGGAAATAGGTTTGTAGAGCCTTGGCATCCTCTGGTCTTAAGATGGAGATAAAAAGGACTTGGCTTGCTTTTCCTTCATTCCCCTGTTCCACCTCCACAATTCCCTATGTTCTCATCTCCACTCCTTCCTCTACTTCATGAAGCAGGAGGAAAGAGCGAGAGACTCATAGAACCACATGAACAGAAAATGTAGACGACCTCCAAAGAACCAGGAGTGGGTTGGGCCACGTACCACTGACATAAGCCCTGTGGCCAGAACAAATTCTCAGGGCATTTTCAATAAGAGTGCTTGGGAAATGAAATCAAATTATAATGTTGATGGGGTTAAATGCATTTATTAAAAAGAAGCAAACCACATTTCTGTTTTGAAAATGGGTTGTGACATCTAACAGGAAAGTTTATTTCTCCTCAATTACCTAAAAGACAAAATTCTTTCTGCTTTTCAATGTCCTGTTTATTTGCCCGGCACTTGACAACATCTTGCCTGGACCTGGTTTGAGCCAGCACGGTTATGCGGCTTTGCTGTCCCTGCCCCTGTGCTGAGCTCCTCCAGGGTGATGTTCATCAGCTTCCAGACAGATGAAAACATGACCTTCAGAGGCTTCCAGGCTAAAGTTTCCTTCATTTCTGAAGCAGGTAAGAAGACTGGGGCACTAACTCCCAGGTTCCCAATTATAATCCTCATAATGTGGTAGTAAACATGTCTGAATCTTGGTCTATCCTAACTATAAGGGTGATCTTAAGATAGAGTCACATAGCATTCATTGTCCTTAATGTAAAATGACAGACAAGTGGTGGAATAAGAATGTCCAAAAGCAAAAAAAACAAAAACACTGTCGAGTCCTTTTGACTCAGCCGATCTGTATAGGGTTTCTGAGGCTGTAAATCTGTACTGGAGCAGAAAGTCTCATCTGCCTCCCAACGTGTTTGAACTTCAGATCTCAATTAGCAGTCCAGTGCTTATCTTGTAGTGCTACCAGGGCTCCTTATATTTGGACTGCAGTGAGATTTAAATCAATATGCAGCCTATAATGTTGTCGTTGTTAAGTGCCGTTAAGTCAGTTCTAACTCATAGTGACCCTGTATAGGGTTCCCAAGAAGCAGCTGGTGATTTCGAACTGCTGACCTTGTGGTTCACAGTCTAGGGCTGATCCTACAGTGCCACACTCAGAAATGTGAGATCTCTTAACTAACTGCCCCCAGTTGCTGGACGTTGGAACTACTTAGTTTCATTCCAAATCCTTATGCGCGTGATTTCTGTGTCTGAATTCCACAAACCCAGTTAGCTACTTCCCAAGCTATCCCTTCTTGTTAGGCATTAAGTAATTACTAATGACAAAATCTAGTGTGGCACGGGATTGCTAATTGTAAGGTTGGTGGTTCAAACCCACCAGCCATGCCTCGAAATCCTATATAGGGTCACTATGAGTCACTACCAATTCAACAGCACTTAACAACAATGACCAAGCCACATTATAGTTAAAATGCTCCATATTTCACGAAAATAACCAGAGATTCAAGTTGATTGTGGTGCCCCAGAATTCTAATAAAATCTCCACACTTGTTACAAGGTTCCAACACTGGCTTTCTTTATGAAACAGATCAATTGTGTTATATTTACACACAGGTTTAAACATTTCCGCATCTGAGGGTGAGTCAATGTTTCTGGAGAATACCTGGAATGTACTACCTGAAGAAACAAATGTTTCTGGTAAGCTGGTCTCAGGAACATTGACCAATTGATTACAAAGGGCATAGTCAGGGTTCTACTAAGAAGCAGCCAGTAGATGGCTGAGCAGGAATGTGTATATGGTTGAAGCAGCTTGCTAAGTAAGTCTGAAACTATGGGGCAGGCGCTCTGGAAGGAAAGAAGCCAGATGGGTGCGAATTGATAATCAAGTGTGTCTCATTCTTCCCAGGCATCTAATAGAGTGTACAAGGGAGATGCTCAGAGATAGTTTTCTGGGCTTGATGGTAAGAAAGACCCAGGGGTAATAAAGATGCATCTCCATGGTTTCCTCTCAGGTGACCTCTACGGAGTCACTTCCTCCCTCCCTCCCAGGTTTCTTTCCAGCTGGACTGTGGGAGCCAAGGAAGCTTCAACTGGCTCCGGGCCATGGCAGGTCAGTCTGCAGATTGCCAACAAGCATCTCTGTGGAGGGGCCATAATTGGGAAGACCTGGATAGTCACCGCTGCTCATTGCTTCTCCAATAAGTAAGTAAGCCTGGGGAACGGCGTGGAGTGAGGACTAATGGTTTAAATTGATTGATCACCATTCCTCAGCTACCAGTCGCTCTGATATCCATTAGGGTCTCCTATGAGTTACCACTCATTTCTCAGTTCATCACTGTGATGGGCAACCTGTCTTCCCAGGCAGTTAGACTCTTCACACTGTACTTCATGACTTGGAGAACACTAGGCTGAGAGCGTCGTATTGCTTAGGAGAGAACCTTTGCTTAATTTGCCAGTGAGTTCATGAGGTAAAATCCAGAACAAGTAAATTCAGACAGGAGTTACTTCCTAAAAGATGATGGCATTAAGGCAGACATCAACCCTGTCATTACAGAGCCTTACTGAAAGAAAAAAAAAAAAAAAAAACCAATGGAATATAAAATTAAAGGGAAGCCACTACTAACTGCAAATACCACAAAAAGTCAGGAAATAGGTCAGATCGCATCAGCCTGCAGGCAACAATTTAGGTATTGTCCCAGAATTTCCCTTTACGCAGCAGTGATAGAAATTAGGTAAAGAAGAAACCAACAGAACTGCCCAATATTCCCTCATCTAGAAATGCAAGTGCTGGAAATATGTAGAATTTTTCAATAATCCGAACCTAGTGGGGTTTAGCTATAATACTTCTCCAAACGTGTTCTGCCAATGACTTCTTGTAGGTTCCACAACTTGATCTCTAGAGGCAAATTGACTTTAAAACTTACTGATTATGAAGTGTAAGCATGGACCCCATGAGGGGATTATGAATGGATTTATAATTTTGCATCATTTTTCATAAAGAGACCCTGAAACCTATATCTAATTCTGAAATTTTGATGATACCCTTTCAAATAAAGATCATAAGAATGCAAAGCTAAACAATCGATTGTGGTAAGTGCCTATATGGAAAACATTAAGAAAAAGCAAAGAATGGTAAATACAATAAACCAGAGCATGAAATAGGGGATACAATCAAAGAAGTGCAGAAAAGCCTTTACAGGCATTGCTTGTATTCTGTTCCTCAACATGGATGTGGGAACATGGGTATTCTTTTAAACTTACACATGTGCTTTAAATGATTGACCTTTGCGTTAGCAGCTGAGTGCTGAACCACTGTGGTTGTTGTTAAGCGCCATAGGTTCTGACTTACAGCGACGTTAGGTTTCTGAAAACTAGCTGGTGTATTTGAACTGCTGACCTTGCAGTTCACCCTCCAACACTTATCCTACAATACAACACCAAGACTACGCCAAGAGGGCTCCTTTATTTAAAAAACAAAAATCCAATTAATACCAACTATGTTGTTGTTGTTAAGTGCCATTGAATTGGTTCTGACTCATAGCTACTCAATATACGGTTTCCAATGTGTGGCTGGTGTGTTTGAACCACCAACTTTGTGGTTCAAACTGACATTGAAGTCTGGCACTTATCCTAGAGCATCACAAATATAGTAAAGGACAAAGAATAACGTTCTCATTTAAGGTAGAACAAACAAGGATACTGTTTATCACTTGTGTTATTAAATTCTTATTTGTCAATGCTATAGCCAGAAGATAAAGAGAAAATTTTAAAATAAGTATGTATTGGGGCTAATAAGAAAATTCAGTCATGTGATCAGTTTCAAAAGAAGTAAAATGTATCCACCATATAGATGCAGAGAGTTAGTTAGGAGTGTGGTTAAAAAGCATGAATTATGGAGCCAGATTCCTAGATTTAAGTCCTTTATCTTTAGTTAACTGCAGAGCAACTCTGAGTGAATGAATCTCTCTGTCATACGTTTCTTCAGTTTCAAAAGGGGGAACACAATGTTGTAAAGGCTAAGTTAGTTAATGCATGTAAAACACTTAAAATAGAGCCGGACACAGAATATGCTACAGTTGGATGTTTTCCGATGTTGATAAATGCAATGGAAGAAAAACCCCATGCAAAATAAAACAAAAAATATCTGATAACATGCTTTGTAAGATATGTTCAAAATCATTTTGAGTGTGAAACTTTCTTGGTAAACAAACAAAATCTGAAAGAGAGAAACCCTACATTTTTATGAACAGAAAATGTAGTTTTTTGACTATACCAATTATCCTCCAAAATAACTTATGGTGGTTGATGGTGGTGTACGGTGGAGTCAGTTCTGTCTCATAGCGACCCTGCACAGGGTTTCCGAGGCTGTGAATCTTTACGGGAATAGAAAGCCTCATCTTCCTTTCACGGAACAGCTGGTAGTTTCGAACTGCTGACCTTAAGGTTTGCAGCCGGATTTGTAATCACTACGCTACCAGAACTCCTAAAATAACTTATAAGTTTAAATGAAATCTTATCAAAATTCCAAAGTGATTTTTTTAAAGAACCTTACAAAATTCAATCCAAAATTATCCTGAAAGTCTAGAAAACCATAACCAAGGACTTAAAAATAATAACATAGGGGGGACTTGTACGGCCATATTGTTGTTGTTAAGTGCCGTCGGGTCAGTTCCAACTCATAGCGACCCTGTATAGGGATTCCAAGGAACGAGTGGTGGGTTTGATCAGTTCCCCTTGCAGTTCAAATCGACCTTGTGGTCCAGTGCGTTACCCTGCAGCACCACACCAGTACAGCCAGACCGGATATATAAATATATTATGAAAAGAAGTATGTTTACAACAGGATCGATGAAGGAGATCTGGTAGCATAGTGGTTATGAATCGGGCTGCGAGCTTCAAGTGCAAAGTTCGAAACTACCAGCTGTTCCGCAGGAGAAAGATAAGGCTTTCTGCTCCTATGAAGATTTACAGCCTCGGAAACCATATGTAGGGTCCCTATGAGACGTAACCGACTCCACGGCACACAACAACAACAGATGAATGTAACAATAGTCAAGATGGCAGTTCCTTGGAAGACTTCGAACCGATGATCCCTTTACTTTCATTTTCCAGGAAACAGCCCTCAGCTGCCTGGGTGGTGAATGCTGGCATCCTTGATTTGGCCAAAGATTCCCCTCAAGTAAGAGGCCTCTCAGTCTCCTTTCTCTCCAGTCCTGGCTGCTAGGTTTTCACCCTGAGGGCTTGTAGCCCACTAGATGGCGCAATTCTCAGTGCTGGCCAGCCTCATGTCTTAGATATACACGTGATCAGGCGGACAGGAATCAAAATGAAATTTTTTTCCCTGTGGTGTAATGAGTTATGCGTTGGGCTGTTAACTGCAAGTTCTGCTGTTCGAATCCACCAACAGTTCTGGAGAAAGAGAAGGTTTTCTGCTACCGTAAAGCTTTGTTGTTGGTATTAAGTACCGTCCATTGGCTCCATCTCATAGCTAGCAACCCTGTATAGGGTTTCCACGGAGCAGCTGGTGGGTTTGAACTGCCTACCTTGTGGTTCACAGTTCAAGGCTGATCAACCAGTGCCACAGCAGGAGTCCAGATTAACAGTCTTGGAAACCCTACATAGGGTCACTATGAACTGGAATCAACTCCATGGCAGTGGGTTTTGGGGTGTTTTTATAGAGTGAAACAGAAGGATTCAGAGCCAATTCCAAATGTTTCCATTGTGTGCATGCCCATAATAATACACCTTTTAAAGAAAGTACTCTTCTACCAGAAATCTGCTGCTGAAGATTTCCTTGTTTCCTGTTCCAACAAGCAATAGAGTAGAATTATCAACAGTTATTTAAAAAGCTCTGCCTGGTACTGTACTTGGTGCTTGGATCAAACATCATTCCACATGACACCTCAGATCATTGCCTCTTTTAGGAGAATTCAAGTACCCCAATCTCCTCTGCTCTTCAATGATTATCATTAATGATCTTTTTGTCTTATCAGAAGAGGTCTGTCAAGCACATTATAATCCACCCCGCCTTCAACACCACCACTAAGGATTATGACTTGGCACTGCTGCAGTTGGTGGAACCACTTCAGTTCAATCAGCGAATTCATCCAGCCTGGCTACCTGAGAGAGGCCAAGGGCTGCCTGCTCCCAGGGTGTGCACGGTCACTCGATGGGGGACCCGTAATCCAGGTCTGTAAAGCCCTTTGTATGGCTCCTGTTGATCCCTTACAGCTCTGTGGCCCTTCACAGATTCCAACATTTTTACACACCTGTCTCTGTTCCTTCTCACAGTTTTCTTGTGGTATGAAAAGGTAAGGATACTAATCCCCATTAGAAAAAAGAAAAAAAAAGGTAAAGAAGTTGAGGTTTATAAAGTTGAAGTAACATAGTTCCCCGACTGCTTAGTGAGACTTTTTTTTTTCAATTTAAACACAATGATCTTTCCACCACTCCATGAAGCCCTTCCTGAAGAAGCAGCCACTCTAGAAACAAGTGGTTTAGCACTCGACTACTTGCCAAAAGATTGGCAATTCGAACCCACCCAGGGGTACCACAGAAGAAAGAGCTGGTGATTTGCTTCTGAAAGGTTACAACCTAGAAAATTCTATGGAGTGCAGTGCTACTTTACAATCCATAGGGCTGCCAAAAGTCACAATCAACTCCATGGCAACTGGTTTGGTTTTTTGGCTTCTAATGCAATCCCAATTTCCCTGCCCTATCTGTACATCAATGACTGATTACTTCATTCATTCATTCATCCATTCATATAGTCATTTGTCAGAATCTCTATTAGACTTTAGAGATGCAAAGCAAAGCAAACTAAATCCCTCCTTTCTAGTTTAGGATTTGAGGCCTATGTGAAAGCAACCCTAATACTAGGTGATACATGCTTTCATAAAGCTCTGGTAATGTAGTGGTTATGAGTCAGGTTGCTAACCTCAAGGTCAGCAGTTCGAAACTACCAGTAGTTCCTCAGGAGAAGGATGAGGCTTTCTGCTCCCACAAAGATTTACAGCCTCAGAAACCCTGTGAAGAGTGGCTATGAGTCAGAACCGACTCTATGGCACACCACCAACCTGCTGTATAGACATAATTACAAAGTAGAGGGAGCACTGAGGAAGGAGCAAGCCACAGCCTGGGTCAGAAAAGAGCAGACATTTACATTAAATCTCATAAGAGTCAGGTTTTCAAGTTTTCAAAGAAGAA